AGATGAAAAAACAAGCATCTTTTAGATTCCTCCAAGGGATGGCAGACAAAAAATTTGGTTCATTGACCAAATTTGATTCACCGCCTGTTTTTGTATGAACTATGAACTAAGAATAGTTTTACATTTTTAAAATTCAAAAGAAGAAAAATATTTCATGACATGTGAAAATTGCATGAAATGCAGATGAATAAAGTTTTATTGGAACGTAGCTGTGCCCATTCATTTACACACTTGTATGGAGACTTGCACACTACAGTGGCAGAGTTGTGGACGTGCAGCAAAGACTGTCTGTGGATGGTGCTCATATTGCTTTGCAGCAACCTGCAGACCTCAGGGATGTGGCCATCATGCCACTGTTTCAAGTGCCAAGCATATCACTTTACAGAAATGCTGTTATATTTTATTTACCAGCACAATAACCATCATGTCAAAACCAACCAAACTGAACCAAAAAAAGAAGAGAATAGTGGGATCCAAAATGTCATGCTTTTAAGTCACAGTAGAGTGTGGATTATTTTGTTAAAGAATTGGACAGGAAAGCAGTGTCTTTGCTGTACAGTGACACTACAACTGTGCTAAAAGAATATGGCATAACAGAGTAAGCCCTCATCACAACATTCCCAGCTGCAAAGAAGGAGCGGCCGGAAAAATTAGAAAATTTAAACCAGATATCTCATAATAGCACAATTTCGCCATGAAAAATGAAAATGAGACTGTAACCAATGTAAGTGTCCTGGTGACTCATTTATTAACCACACAAGGAAAGACATTTATTGATGGTGAGTTGATTAAATTAGTTTTGGTTGTAGCAACAGATGAAATGTGTCTAGAGAAAATAAAATCGTTTAAGGCTATTAGCCTTTTGGTGACAGCTGTTTGAAGAGTTGAAAACTTTGGGAACAACATCAATAATCAATTTCAAACCATGGCAAATGATCTCTAACAGTTTTCCTCGGCTCTTGGTAAGTTGACCAATACTGCTCACTTGTTTGTCAAGTCCTCATGTTGAGGTTGAAGTGAATGAAGAGTAAGCTTCTATGAATAATCTGTGTGGAAAAACTATGGTCAAAAATATTTTTAAGAAAAATGAGGAAACACTAAATGCTGCCTGAAATACAATCTGCTAAGATGTGTTAAGCTGTTAATGAGCAAGAAAAGGCTTTTTGGACAAATTTACAAAGCTTATGAAAACATGAAGTGCTTAAAACCTTTACTAATTGATTATAATATTCATCAGAAGGTACTTTGTGGAATATGTTTGAATCTATTGTGCATTATTGAACGAATTGTGACAGAGGTGATCATTATCTGTTCTGGACTTAACTATTATCTGTTTTGTGAACTTTTATCAAAAATAGAAGATGAATATTCTGACTTGCCCTATCACCTACATAGCAGTTTGATGACTTAACAGTAATAAGTCATCTGTGAGTTTTTGAGCTCAGGATGGCTATTGAAATTTTTCTTAAAAACAGCTCTCAACCACTATTATTGAACATTGGTTGACCTGGAAAATTAGCTTTTGCTGCAGACTTCATAATGTTTCTTAATGGATTCAACCAAAATGACAGAGAAAAACAATGATTATATGTCGAACCTAGTGATAAAATCATTTTGATGATAATTAATATTTAAATCACAAGAAACATGAAGCAGTGTATAAAACTTGCTGTGATGTCAAAAATTAAAACAGAAAGTGAGATAACCACTCCTTCACAAATTTTAATGAATATATTTTCCAGTCTTAAACTATAGTTCTAACAATGTTTTCAGACCTTAATTCAAGTGTAAAAGTAATTTTTAAATTTCAAATTCATTTAACTGTGCAATTGAAGGGTTTCCATTCAGCAATTCCATATCTAGCAATATAATAAATGGTGTGTTAAAACGCAGACATCAAGAGAATATTTAATAGAATTTTATAAATGCCTTCTGAGCAATGAAAATGCTTAATAAAAGATTATGTACAGGGATTGATATCAGTGTTTGGCAGTACTTTCCTTTGAGTGTTTCAGCCAACTTCGAGAGTTAGCCAGCTATAAAATTTAGAGAGCACACAATTCATGCAAGACCATCCTCACTTCTGACATCAATTGCAAGTTTGGAAGAGTTCCCAAAACTACCTTCAGGGTCAATAATTCACTAACAGGGCTTGCAGAACTCCCTGAAATTTTTATGCTCATTTGTTGTTGGTAAAGGATGGAGAGTTAATTCAGCCAAGGGGAGATGTACATAGAGCAGAGTCCAGATAAGTATCAGACATTTTTGTTGCCCTTCCACATGGAGTCAGGATGCTGTACTTTCACTGCATCAACGTGTGACAGTATGTGTAGAATATTGCCAATGAGCAAAGCTCATCCAGACCTTGGTGTCCAAATATTTTCTTGGGGCTCTACCATGTAGGTAAGACTTTTCTCCATAATTGCCCCTGTGGTTGATCTCAACCTTCAGGGCAACTGACACCATGTGGCCCAAAACCCCACTTACATATCACATTGTTGGTCTTCTTGAAATGGTCAACCTAGACCCTAAGTCATAGTTTTAAATTGCCCAGTGTAACCCCATTTCCCCTGGCAAACCATGACATTCCAAGAGATCACTTCCCAGTAGGTGAGGACAAATACCAGACCACATCTGGGGCAAAATTAATTCTTTACTACATACCACCTGTGGGAAGCATTTTCAATGATGAAATGTAAAATATCATTATAGATCACCATTAGCAGATGAAGAGTTGCAGTCAATTTTGATCAAAGAGAACACTAACTTTGAACTCTAATGGAGTGAAATGTGATCTAACCCACAAATTTATGTTTCCCATTACTAGACATGTGTCACAAAAGAATGGACTCAGTCACTAATGTCAGATTTTGCATTTTTAAATTGTGGGAGCTTTTTTCTCTCTTGCTGGGGAAGTACCTACATAATATCCTTGATTTTTCATCCTGGCCTGAAACGACTGCAATATTTACTATCTGATCTTTTATAGAAAAAGTTTGCCAACTTCTGATGTTGAGTCCAGTTTGTAATACTACTCTGATGGCTAGTTTTATGAGTCAACTTGATGAAACTATAGACCCTAATCATTCAACCAAACATCAATCCAGGTGGTGTTGTAGAAGTATTTTGTGGATGTAATTAATATCTACAACCAGTTGATTTTAAGTGAAGGAGATTATCCTCAACAATCTGAGTATAGATGGGAATGAATCAGTTCAAAGTCCTTGACTATACTTTCCTTGAATGAAGAAGAAATTCTCCCTAGAGATAGCAACTACAGCTCCTACCTAGAGTTTTCAGCTGGCACTTCTTGGAGGTCGGTCCTCTGAATTTCAGGCTTACCTAGCCAGCTTCACACTCACACAAGCCAATTCCTTGCAATCAATCATTCAATCAACACACATATCTATCCAGCTGATTCTGTTTCCCTGGTGGAATCCTGACTGACTCACTGCTCTCTATAAAAAATACTACCCAGTTTGTGCTGCTAGAAAACTGAAAAGGAAATAACTTTAGATAAAATGAAATTAATAGTTTGCCATAGCTGTCTGTCAGCTGTGATATTGCCTAATCTGTCTTATTGACTCTCTAGTGCAAGGCAGAAAGGGGTAGTGAGAGTTATGAATAAAGAAAGAAAATTCAGGAAGACTTTAATTCAGTCTTATCATTGTGGATCAAAGAGAGATTTTTGCTTCTTGACAGAATCTGTTCCCAGAGTATTTCTGAGAAATGTCTCCATTAGTCTAAGTCTAGGACTCACTTCCCAGGGCTCACTGTTGCTGGCTGTTAGAACACCCTGGACCTCCTGGCATTGTTGATAAGTTCTGTGCTTGTATATTTTCAGAGGAGAGTTTCCTGAGCTTTTATCAGATTTCCTAATGGGTCGTGGCACCAAAAGGATAAAGGAAGTGACAAATAGATTCAAGAGATTAGATCTGATAGACAGAGTGCCTGAAGAACTATGGATGGAGGTTCATGACATTGTACAGGAGGCAGTGATCAAGACCATCCCCATGGAAAAGAAATGCAAAAAGGCAAAATGGTTGTCTGAGGAGGCCTTACAAATAACTGTGAATAGAAGAGAAGTGAAAGGCAAAGGAGAAAAGGAAAGTTATTCCCATTTGCATGCAGAGTTCCAAAGAATAGCAAGGAGAGATAAGAAGACTTCCTCAGCGATCAATGCAAACAAATAGAGGAAAACAAAAGAATGGGGAAGGCTAGAGACCTCTTCAAGAAAATGAGAGATACCAAAGGAACATTTCATGCAAAGATGGGCACAATAAAGGACAGAAATGGTATGGACCTAACAGAAGCAGAAGATACCAAGAAGAGGTGGCACGAATACACAGAAGAACTATACAAAAAAGATCTTCACAACCCAGAAAACCACAATGGTGTGATCATTCACCTAGAGCCAGACATGCTGGAATGTGAAGTCAAGTGGGTCTTAAGGAGCATCACCAGGAGCAAAGCTAGTGGAGGTGATGGAATGCCAGTTGAGCTATTTCAAATCTTAAAAGATGATGCTGTGAAAGTGTTGCACTCACTATGCCAGCAAATTTGGAAAACTCAGCAGTGGCCACAGGACTGGGGAAGGTCTGTTTTCATTGCAATCCCAAAGAAAGGCAGTGCCAAAGAATGCTCAGACTACCGCACAGTTGCACTCAGGTTCTCTACCACTCGAGCCACCTGGGAAGGTGGGCGGGAGCTGGGTTTAATCGCCAGGCTCAGTTACCAGGGAGCTTCCTGCCCTGTGGTGATGGCCTGAGTGACCCCAGGTACCTGCTCGGCCACTGCCCGATTGCCTGGGAGGAGGCGAGTGGAGGGTGGCCCCTAAGCTTTGTGGAGGACTTCTGGACTTCTAACCACTACGCTTCTACTGTGCCCCTGCCCAAAGGGAGGGCAGGAGGAGGAGCTGGCGCCCTGAGGAGGGGAGGGCGGGCCCAGAGGGAGTTTGAAAAGAGGAAGGAAGTGGGGCCCAGCAGCGCGCCCAGCCACCCCTGGCTGCTTCCCCACAGGACGACTGGAGGTGCCTGCAGGTCCCGGCCGAGCCATGGCCCCCTGGCGCAAAACTGACAAGGAGCGATATGGAGTGGGTAAGACTGGGCCTCGGGCTCTCGGCAGGAGAAGGGCAGGTGGCCAGATAGCCGTCCCGGAAGGTGCTGGGGAGCCAGCGGCGTGGACGTAGGCGCCGAGCGCCGACTCAAGCTCGGAGGGCTCTCTCCGCTGCTCTGGGGCCAGCGGGGTAGGAGCAGGGAGGCAGGGGGAGAGAAGGTGGGCAGCTCACCCAGCAGGCCACACCCAGCCCGCTCCCTCTCCTGCCTGCCCACCCCCACAGGGCTGCCCTCTTTCTCTAGGTGCCTGTGCATTGCCCAGATGGGTTCCAGCAGCGCGCGGAGCCACCTGGCTGTGTGTCAGGCTCCTGGCATTGCAGGGATTCCCTCACCCTTTCTGGAGACTTGTCCTCTTAGAGGGAGCATCGAGCGTCGTTCTCTCTCTTGGCTGGGCCTTGCCTGACCCCATGTCCCTCCCGCCACCCTTGCCCTAAGCGACACCCATCCACCTGCTTCCCCTGCCTGTTCCTCCTGGGTCAGATGACCCCCTTGTTCGGCAGAGCATCCTTAGGGTGTAGGACTGGAGGGCAAGACCCTCCACTCAGCCCCAGAGAGTCTGTGGGAGAAAGTCTCGCACCAGGTTATACAGGGACATCCAAGAAGCCGCCTCATCAGCTTCAGCCATCTAAGTTCCCAGAGGCCTCTGCCTCAAGCTCAGGGGCGGAAGTGGTGACTGGGGGAAGGGAAGCTTCAGGTACTAGGAGTCTTTCTACTAAATGGCACCTGTGGTGCAATCCCCATAGATTCAGTGTGGTTTTCAGATAAGTGTGAATTTAAAAACCTCTCTGTGGCTTGCTACACAGGCAGACACTAGATACCGCCCTCAGAGATGAGAACTGAACAGGTCAGATGCTGGAGGACCCAAGGCCAAGAGTGATTAGATGCTGGGATCCCAGGGCCACTGCTGGAGAAGCACTGTCCTGGAGGGCTCACCAGTTAGCCATTCATTACTAGGCTTCAGGCGCTGTGGCGTGTTTAAAGGTGAACGGTCCCCAGCCAGAGGACAAATACTAATCCATGCCCTGAAGGGGGGTCAATTTCTCCACCTACATTGAACTAGACTCACTAACTTTTCACCTTTAAAGCTTCTCTAACTCTGGCCCTTCTAGCTCAGGTTATCAGGCTCAGGTTATCTAGCTCAGGGGAAAATGGGGACTGATAAATGGAGCAGACCTTTATAGGTGGAGGGACCAATGCAATCTAGGAGACGAAAGCTGGACATGAAGGGAATATCCAGGAAAACAAGAGCACATCCAGAGAAAAAAACGTGGTAGCTTCTTCTGCCTTGAGGGGAGGGTGCATTGAAGGGAAGGGTGCACAAAGTTAAGCTGGAGCCATATTTTGGAAAGCTCTGAATGCTATGCTAAGTTGAGACTTTTTCCAGTTTTAGGCAGTGGGGGCCATAGAGGGCTTCTGAGCAGAGGAGGGACATGAGATATGCTCTGAAGTCAGCGTGGACGGAGACTGGTGGGCAGAAGAGCGAAGGTGCCTGGGTGGTATACACGGGCGGGTACTGGCGGCCCGGGGGAACCAGGGCAGTTAATTAGGGAGCCTGAGGGTGGTGGAAAAGTCCCACCCTCTGGCTGAAGGCTGCAGTGTGCGCCTGCAGGGTGGCACTCTGCTGCAGGGCAAAGAGAATGGACTCTGGTTCCTGCTCTTGGATTCCAACTTCCAGTGCTTCCCAGCCTTCTGAGCTAGACAACTTAGGAACTCTCCCCAGGCTTCAGTTTCCTCGTCTGTGTAACAGGAGCAGTAACAGCACCTGCTGCTCAGGGTTGTCGGAGACAAGAGGAATCAACCCACGTGCAGTGCCTAGATGGCAGCTGTACAGAGCCTCATTGAAGTTTATCAATGCTGGTTTTTAGTCTTTATTTTCTGCATGGGCGCACAATTCAGGACATGGACGTCACAGGATGGGAGGGGCCTACAGGATGGAGTAGGGTCTCACCCTCCCTAGCAGAGGAAACCCCACCTGTGTGCTCAGAGACTAGAAACTCTGTTAGACTCTAGGCCCAGAGGCTTCTTCTGATGGAATATCTGACGTTGTTCACACCTACCTATGAAAATTCTATTTGGGTGTGGGGTTCAGAGGGTGAATGACCTTTAAGAGGACCAGTGAGCACTTGGTAGGTATCTATTTATCAGAGGATCTTTTTTTCTCTGCCGTTGAATGGCAGAGGTAAGAAAGGTATTCTCCAGCCCTCCTCTGCAGACTCCAGGTAGAGGGAATGAAAAAGCAAGGCTTTTTGGCTTTGGGTTATGAGGAGACAGGGGACTGGAGTCACCCAGCAGAAAGAACAGTGGCCTGAGAGTAAGGAGTCTGGGTTCTAGTTCTGACACCGTCATTTTTGCAGACAGGTCGGTGCTTTAGTTTCCTCACTGTAAGTCTAGATATTAATACATTTCTATTTCAAGGCATTCTTTTATGAAGAGCACCTGAGATCATGAGTATGGGGCTTGGAGGAAGACAAAGAGCTAGAGCCACATAAGGATTCGGGAGTCCCCAGGACATCTCGGGAGTCCCAGCCCGTCCAGCACAGGAGCTCCTGAGCTTTGCTTTCCCGTTCGGTTTCTTTTCCTCTGGCCCAGCTGACGAGGGCTGCTGGTGTCTGTCTGTCTGGGGAGCTGATTTTTCTGGGGGCAGCTTCATACCAGAACCTCTTGGCTTCTTTCTCAGCTCACCGTGTGGTGGGCACCCAGAGTGAGCCTCATGTAGATCCCTGGCCAGGCTCTTTGTACTTGCTGATGGAGCTTTAAAGGGCGATCCATTAGAGTCCCAGAGAGGACGCTTGGTAGACTTTCCACAGACAAGTAGTGTAGCTATAACGTAAGAAAAGACATAGCCTCTGCCCTTGAGAAGTTTTGTGTAAGATTAGAAGCTTGCACTGTGAGTTCATGTCTGACCCTGTTTCCTCATCTGTAAAACTGGCACAATATGGATCTCTTGAGACTGTTGTGAGGGTCGAATAGAGGTAGTACCTGAAAATCACTTAGTAATGAGACTGGTCAATGAAAGTTAGCAACTGAGGTCAAGGGGCTAACCTAATAGTTGCTGAGCCAAGAGAGACAGATGCACCCTTAGGCCAGATTCAGGACAGTCATGCTTTATAAGAGTAAGTATAGTACAAGACCCATTCTCATGCAATATCTTTGTCTGGCTTCAGAACACCTATGTGAGACAGTATATTATTATTCTCATTTTATAGACAAAGACTTCCAGAGTTCACATAACTTGGAAGTGCTTGAGCTGGGCGTTAGATTCAGTTGTCTTCAGACACCAGGCTCTCTGTACAACACTAGGAGGGACACTGGAAGGAGAAATGTCATAGACAAAGGCAGGAGGTTGGAAGGTATTGGCATTTGGGTCAAACAATAAATAGTCCTCTTTGATTTTAGTGAATGACTGTAGTGAAAAAACAAAAAGTTGGAGACGTAGATTGCAGCCTGATTGTGAAGGACTTTGCGTACCAAGCTGATAAGTTTGGACTTCATTGTGTGAGCAGTGGAGGTTTTGAGCAGGTGTCTCACCTGTAAGAAGATAATTTAACCACTTGGAGAGGGGCAGGGGTTGGACACAGAATGGAACAGCAGTGGGTGACAATTTTCCTGTCTACTGACTGTCTGATTGGTTAATCCTGCAGGAGTTCCACATATAATTAACATTTCCTTTTGACCTTTACTCTCTTAATCCTCTCTGCCTGAGACATTTGTCATTGATAACAGCTTTATCCTTGAGAGAGAGAACAGAGGACAGAAAAGGGAAAGGTAAAAAAGAGTAAGTAACAAATTCCTATCGATGACAGAAAATCTCCAAAATAAAAGTTTATCTCGCTCTCATATAGAAAGCCCAGAAAGAGTCTCTGAAGAAGTGGTAGAGTAGCTCATTCTGTTTCCTGCCCTGCTTCCTTGGCCCAAGTTCAGTTCAGTTCAGTCGTGTCCGACTCTTTGCAACCCCATGAACCGCAGCACGCCAGGCCTCCATGTCCATCACCAACTAAGGGTATTAGGAATGATAGATTAGTTTTCTCAGGCAGCCATAACAAAAAGCTACTGACTGGGCGGCTTAAACAACAGAAATTATTTTCTCACAGTTCTGGAGGCTGGAATTCCAAGTCCGAGGTGCTAGGAGGTTGGTTTCTCCTGAGGTCTCCTAGGCCGGCTGACAGCTGCTTTCTCCTCGCTTGTCCTCACACGCTCATCTCTCTCTGCTTGCTCGCCACCTGTGTGAGCCATCTTCTTAGAAGGGTGCCAGGCATGTCGGATTAGGGCCGCATGCTAACAGCTTCACTGATCACATCTGCACAGACCTGATCTAAAGATGGGACTTAACATATGGATTTGGAGCACTAGTGGGGGCAGCAGTTGGACCCTTAACAGTTGGTTGAGCTGTGGTCTGCGATGTGATATTTAGGGATGGTGAAAGAAGGCTTCAGGGCAGGGGCTCTCGGAAGGTGAGTGCAGGAAAAGGTTTGTTTACCCTGAAGCTGGGCCTGCTGGGTGGATCTGTGTGGTGCTTCAGTTATGCTCAGAAGCCTCCTGTCTGCACAAGTCACCTGTAGTTATGGTTACATACCTGTTTGCGGTATTGGGCAGTACTGCTTGGCTCCTTCAGAGAGCTATGAGGGACAGTCTGTCCCAAGTCTCTCCCCTAGTAGCTTCAGGTGGTTTGCTGACAGTCTTTGGTGTCCCATGCCTTTTCCTCAGGCTCTGCGTCTGTCTTTATATGGCATTCTTCCTGTATGTGCGTATCTCACTCCAAATTCTCCCTTTTAATCAGAACACCAGTTAGTGTTAGTCACTCAGTCGTGTCCAGCTCTTTGCAACTCCATGGACTGTAGCCTGCCAGGCTCCTCTGTCCATGGAATTCGCCAGGAAAATATACTGGAGTGGGTTGCCATTTCCTTCTCCAGGGGATCTTCTCAACCCAAGGATGGAACCCAGGTCTCCCACACTGCCGGCAGAGTCTTTGCTATCTGAGCCAC